AGTTCCGACTAATCATTACCAATGGTTTTTTTGCAATTTCCGTGTCCCCATTATCACTAAGAATCTAAATTCGCAAAAATAAGCTTCTCTTTCATTCATACAACAAGCCTATTCTCGAGTGCTAACTTTGGGGCTACATGTATGACCCTCTGAGGCTGTTCTGAGTCTCGAGGAATGTTTTAACATTCTGAAACACTTATTCCTTCCCCTCTTGGTTATTTGAGTGTACGGCAGTTTTGATAGCTCACTGTTATTGCAAAGTTGGAGCATCAGTGAATAACATTGCTGAGATTTGTTAAGGAGACCGATGACTTGGAGAGCGAGTCTAACTAGCTTATGACTTTCCGTCAAATTCGTTTAAAAGTCCTTTTTTGGGAAAGGAACGAATGAATGATCTACAGGTGTAAGTGCCTTATTGTCACAGTCAGTATTCAAAGTATGCTTGTGATTTTGTATTGTCATTTCACGATGCTAGTGAATCCGGACTTGTGAAGTCGAAAGTGGTATTCATTGTTTGTGCTTCCTTGTCGTTCAGATTGCTGCTGGCAAACTATGCGTTAAATCCTCCTCTGACAAATAGACATCTCGTGCATCTGCTCCACAAGATCGCAGTAAAGCAGCACCTTCCCGGAGTTCTCTTCCAGCTACGACTTTTTCATGTTTTTCAGACCATTATTGAGGATCCTGTTGTTGGAAAACTTGACGAATTTAAGGTGAGTTTTTCTTGCAAATAGCTACTTTTTTGGCCTCTCCTACTATTCATGTTTCTTCTTTTGGTCAAGAAGTTTACTCAGTGACTCATCATTTTGAGATTCGAAGTGCGTTCCCTTTCATTTCGTTGGTTTAGGAGATGTTGTGCTTCATCAAGTACATCCTCCGAAAGTTTTTTGCCACCTTTGAGCGCTCCCACTTGGTTGCTGTGGAGGCGCTCTTCTTGAAGTCCACCAGAGAGGCTGCCGAAGCGCACAACGGCTATGGCACTTATGAGAGTGGGTAAGTTATCCCTTTCACTGCGCTTTTCTCGCCTCTTTTGTTGCTCTTGTGTGGGTCAAAGTGATCAAGGCCAGCTGTTCAGTTTTAAAATGACTGGTTATGGAGGCTATTTGATACTGTCATGCTTGTTTCGTGCCGATATTCTTCTTTATGGTAGATTTTCATGAATAAATAACGTCCTCTCGAAGCTCTCAGATTTATTCGAACGCTCCACTTCAAGAACCGGTTTCTTCAGGGCTCTCACTTATGTTGTGCAGCATCTCTGATGGTTTTTTTTTGTGCATAACATTGGAAAACTTTAAGGTTAAGTTATGCTCTTTTGCCGAAATAAATGTGAAATGAAGTAGGGATTATGAGGTCATATTTTCACTCACTTCTAGACACAAGAAGTTCCACTGGACTACTGAGTTGGACAAGGAGTTGGATCAGCTTTTTGAGGCATACAGATATGATCCCGTCCCTAAGGGTACTACACATGGCCATACTTTATTCTTTTGCCATTTTCTAAAGGAAAACCGGTTCGTGTGTGTGTGTATGTGTATGTGTATGTTAAAACTATCGCCTTTGCTGGAACCTTTATGGCAAACATTGCCTAGCAAAAGTTTCCAAGTGACTATTTATAATAGTTGTGTTATACGATTACTTCAGCATTATTATTTTTCTCGTTGCTAACAGGTGAAGATTTGGTGGATGTACTAAAGCGCAACCTATCGGATCCTGGGGTGACCCGACGTCAAATCATTATGCGTCTGATCTACCTAGGCAAGGTGGCCTCAGCAAAAAACCTCAAAATGATGACGTAAATTCTCTTTCTTCATCAGTATCACTTTTTGATCGTGAAGTATTCGCTCAGGTGAGAGAGGGGTTGTTAGACGAAGTCAACGACCACCCTGGAGTGAGGAGGAGATTAACCTACTCCATTCGTTGTTTCTCGAGCATAACGGTTCTTCTCGTTAGTTCTCGTGCAGTTTTTTATCAAACCTCTTGCTAGATCGATTGGATGATGTGATGACCGAGTTGAGATTGGAGTACGAGCAGAAAGTACGCCAGGAAAACGATGAAACGCCCGTGACGGCAGTTCTGCGAAGCCGGCGCGAAGTTAAAAAAAAGCTGATGGAGCTGGGATTGGTTGAGGACTTGAGTGATTTTGGTCATCATAGGCGGCAGGCACGTCAAAGGCGCAATGGAGAGATGCAGTTAGAAACCTTGGATGGAGGCATATCAAGGGTGGCAAAGGTGAAGAGGTCATCGCACAGAAGACGATGGCGGAGTAGGCAGCACAACTCTTCACCAGAATTGCTCCTTGGTGCCGATGAACGTTTCAGTGATGAGGTTTATCAGGTAGGACAAAGGCGAAATGAAAAGATGTTTTGTTGAAAATGCTAAACAACTGTACTTTTATTTATATTTTTAGGAGCCAACCAACTTTGAAAATGTCGACACCACTAGCGAGGAGGTATGCTGTATTAGAGTGCTTAAGAACTCGTCATTTTTAATAGGAACATCGTAGCAGTAAAGAATCAGAGCTTCCAATGCATTCGGATTCGGAGGCCAGTTCAAAGGAGGTAAGTCAGTAAGACCTTTGACTTAATTACAATTGCTGTGGAGAGCGTCGGAATCTCCCTCCTTTTACTCGGTCTATTAGCACTCCTTTTCCTTCAGGATTCAGATGTGCCCATTCAAAGGGCTTCGGCATTACCGCCGCATGCCGTGTCAAGTGAGGATGTCGAAACTTCCCCACCTGTCAGTTATAAGAAGCGTCGAAGAGTCGCTCTGGAAGACAACAAGGACAGCGTTGATGAGTTTGCTGATGATGACACGCTAGATGTGTAAGTGCCACCATCGGCTTAAAGATTTGCTTTATGTTTGTTCATATGGCCCGAACACCGTGTTGGCAGTAATTTAAGCACTACTTGAGGAAAAGCTCCTAAGCGCATCGCTTTGTTTTGAAAGCCTTTGGTGTGAAATCGAGAAGTTCAATTCACCCTCAACTATGAGAACCTATTCTCTATTTGGCATGTTGCTATAACTGCTCACCAAAGCCATGAGAAGGTAGACGCCTCACTAAATTCCTTCGAGTTGCACTATTGGTCAAACTCCACGTAACACTTTTGTTTGGCCTCGTAAAATTCTTTTCACTAATCATGGTAGGACGGCATTTTAAATGACTTTGTAGGTTCTTTCTGCCACCGATTACATTTTTAACAGCGAAACGGTTTTGCGAAAGGGTACTAAAAAGGGACTGCTGTTGTCACAGGCAATTTCATCGGAATTTTTTTTTCAAGTGTATAGTCTGAGATTGTCAGGGCTACTGATCGTGCACTGAACCAAGAAAATATTGCTGGATATCTGTTGCACTTTGTGGCGAAGATGGAAGTCGTCTGGTTCTACCATCTTGATAATTGTTGGATGTGTGTTGAAGTACCGGTGACGACTTGTGACCATTTGACGAGATAGTAGATGTGAGATTTGTCTGCACTTCATTTTTCTCATTGAATGCTTTAGGGAAATTAGCCGAGCGATTCAGGAGGCCAAGAATGCGTCTGGCAACAGTGTCGGAGCAAGTCCTCGGAGGATTCGCGTCTTTGACGACTCCGACGAAGACTGCTGAACTGTTACCCATTTTTCCAAATAGACGTTTGCATTGCCGTTACATTTTTGTTACCATTGTTCAGAGTGCCAAAATTCGTCTCCGCAAAGGGTGGCTTCTGCGACTAGTCAGGGAGCTACATCCCAGTTTGACGCGTTTGAGATTGCTAAGCGGGTGCTACCTACACAACTAGAAAGAGGGAAAGCATTATTCACTTCGCCGGCAGCATCATTGCTAAAACCAACCAGTAACTGAAATTGGCTAAATTAAGTAGGACGCGGAGGAGAGTTTGTTTTAGCGCCATCCATGGACAGTACATCAACGTGTTCATCCCATAGTTTTACGACGCAGCGTGAGTACTTAACAATGCCCATCGAG